AATATAATAATAATAATGAAATATTGTGATAATTATCTACCAAAATGTGATACAGAGACTCACAAAGTGAACAAATGCTTTTGGAAAAAATGGGGCCAATAGACTTGCTTGATGTAGAGTTGCCCCAAACCCTCAATTTGTAAACAAACAAACAAACAAACAAAACCCAACAAAAAACCCTCACTCTATCTGTAGTGCACAGTAAAGCAAAACCGAATAAAACAAAGTAGGCCTGTACTCATAAAACATGGGGAATACTGAAACTACACAGGAGGCAAACTGAAGGTGCTCCCAAATGGCCAAAGTTGAAACAGTTTCAGCAACAAAATAAAAAATTATAGTATTAGATTTTAAACTGTAGAATAAAGCATATAACCATGAATCCATACTGATAGAAGTAAATAATTCAATGAATAAATAAATGGAAGAGAATGAACAACTCTTTTTATAGTAGAATTCCAGTTAATCAGTATGGAAGGAATGAGAGAAAAATCACCAGTGGGACAAACATAATTAGTAATAATTAGTTACAGACATAAATAATAAAAAGTTACAGACAAGATTTACTGACCAATGTTCAAGTTTCTCCTGAAACTTGAGAAACACAACTTGAATACTCATTTGTATTAGGTACAAATGGAAAAACAGTAAATGTAAAGTGGAGAAGCGATAGACAGCACCATTACCATGTATAAGGTTCATATCACCTGTAGTAAGACATTGGTACCAGGAACTGCTTGATACGATTCAGTCAGAGAGATACATTGTCATTTCTGTGGGAGTTTTGGGCAAAAAATTTATAACCTCAGGCTAGTCCATGAGGAAATATAACATGAATCCTGATTAATGACATTGTACAAAATTACCAGTTCTCTTTAAAAAAGTGTCAAGTTCACTCTGAGGGGAGTGGGGAGGAAGGTGTTTTGCGCACCCAGGCTGGAGACTGTGGCCTGGCTCTGTGTACATGGTAGACCTCTCCTGCAAGGCTAGGAAGTCAGGGTGGCAAGTGCTAGACACCTGACTATGGCACCACCTGGGTGGGCTTCTGCCTCAGCTGGGCATGGTACACCCTGAGAAACTGCTGCCCCACAGGTCTAGTACAAGTTCTAGCAGTCATTGACAGAGCAGGGCTCCCATAGCCCAAGTACCCCAACAGCGCCATGCGTGTATTCCTGGAATGCCCCCAGGCTTTTCAGTGCCATCGCCTGGGTTTTGCAATGGCACATGATGGAGCTAGGAATGTGGTCTGCTGGAGGAAGGAGTGGTGTCCAAGATGATAGAACAGAAGTTGAGGAAGAGTAGCAGAGAAGGAAGAAAAAGGAGTTGAAAGAGAATGTCACTAGAGGAGACCAAGGAACACATCCTGAAGTTGTAGAAGTTTTTGGTCCTACAGGAAGAGAAGCCACGAGCTTTTCTTGCAGCTCAAGAAAAGTTTTACATGAGGCTGTGCCCGGCCACTTTTAGCCCACCCAGACAGAGGTTCTTCAGCCTTGTGGTGCCTTGTACTTAAAAAAGCAGATTGAACATGGTAACCAGCAGACTGGACTTCCTCCCTATGCTCCACGAATCTAGTTTCTGGACTCCTTGCCTCCCCTCGGCTTCCTCCTGCAGATGCAACCAGCAGGAAAGTCAGGCTTTTTGCCTTTCCTGCTGCTCCTGGAGATACAATCAACGGAAAAGTCAGACTTTGCACCTCCCAGCTAACCAGGCCCTTGGCTCTCAGCATAGCCAAAACGTGTGATTCTAGCACAAATCACACTTTATTTTCAACCTCACCTCTACCATCTGCTGTGGGTGAGGATTCTGTTCTGCCCCAGCCCAGCTCAATGAAACCTATCTGCCACTAGGAAAAAAAGAAAGTCAAGCTCATGAAAGACCAAGAAAGACCGAATGTGTCTAGGAACTTACACTGGTAATTGTCAAATATATCCTGTACTTGCAAGACAAAGCAAATAAAATTATAGCAGTTAAACTGAAGAAATATAGCTGACTGAGGCTACTGCTGTACAGGACTGCTTTAATTGTTAATAAGCCAGGAGTGTGGACTCTGCTTTTTTGTTTGACCTTAGAACATTGACAAAACTGGCTTAAGAAAGTTTATTTTGAGAGAAATAATTTATTTGGAGTATGCAGGTTTCCAGTTTTCCTTTCAGTGCTACAAATAAATTACTAGGTTTCTTGTTAGGTTACTTAATTTTTCAGAGGCTGTGGCAGTGAAGGAATACTAGGACAAGGGATGATGAGCTAGTTCAAGCTGTGACTTGACCACTTAATAGTTCATTTATTTCTTCATTCTCTTACCACCCTTCTGCTCATTTTATGCCATTTGTTATAAATATCTTCTGTACTGAGTCCTTGAATAGGTGTGGAGAGCATAGTGCTAAAACAAAGAGTAGCAGGACGTTGTTATCCATTAGTTATATCAGCTTACTTTCTAGATCAAAATCCTAGAAAAATATATGAGACCTGAAAATAATTAGTGGGTTCAAATTAAATTGTAAAATTGAGGTTTTATCTATTTCCAATTGGTTATAACATGAAGGAGGTTAAAATTTGTCATACTTTTTTAGTTCCATTTGTAAATGTTATTTAGGAAATTATCCTTCACCTGAAGAGACATTAAATATACATATAAAAATATTCATTAAAGCATCTTGTGAAATAGAAAAAATTAAAAGTGTGTGTGTGTGTGTGTGTGTGTGTGTGTGTATATGATAGGGAATATGTGAATATTATCTGTAAGTTCTGATTATAGAATTGTTAGTGTGGCATCAACTTATTTAAAAACAAAATAGAAATTCTTGAATTTATGGACAGAGGACTGGAAGGAAAAAAATAACTGTTTTAAATGATTTTACCTTTTACTCCTGATTTGTAAATCTGTTCTCACGTTTTATTAAAAAAAAAGTTGCTTTAACAATGGGAGAAGTACATTACAAATTTTGTTTAAAATACTTCATTCGTTTTTTTTTTTAAATTTCATGGCAATACAAATATAAAACAAAACTCAATGATATATATGTAAAGTAAATGGTCCTGTTTCTCAGATTATTCCCAGTATGATGTAAACTTTTTCTATCCCCCTCTGTGCTCATACAGGTGATTTTTAAAATCAGTATTAGGAATGCTGGTTTTTTACTTGCTTTTTTCTGTGACAGCTATATTTTAGATACTATTTTGTTTTAGTAAATGCAAATGTGCCTTTGTAACAGTTGTTTTGTGTTCCTTGGCATCAATGAGCCATACTTGTTTCCCATTTATAATTGATCATGTCTTCAACTTCTTGTCTTTAATGCCACAGTGTATATCTATGTATACATATATTCTTGCACGTTTATGTAGATATTTCTTTTTAGTTTATTGGAAATGGACTTGCCCATTTAAAATTCTAATACATGTCTTAAGTTATCCCTGAATAAGTTTGTTGTTGTAATTCTGAAACCAAAAAAACTTTGAAAACCAAAAGCTTTTTCATGTATCATTTAGTGGCAGGATCTGACAGGAGCCTATTTGATGATAAACCTGACCTGCGTTTATGTTGGGGTCTTATCAGGTCTTTATTATTTTTAGAAAAGTGAATGTTCATCTTACTGCAGAAATACCAGTGTGTTTGATTGCTGGGTGCTGTCCCAGATCCTGTTAATAATATAATAATTGTATATGGACCCTTTTTGAAATCAGGAAAAATCAGTTTCAAAACATACGTAGTAGTGGAGTTTTTGGATGGAGGATTTTTTACCTCTACGTATATATGTTTTCAGCTGTGTGAATATGAAAATATTTTCTTAACCATAAAATTTTATGAGTGTGTTAATGTCTAAGAAGTAGATTACCCACTTTATTTGAAATTCAGTTTATCTGAATAGAAATGTATATTGGGGACTTAGAGAAAAAATCTCAAAATAGTCTAGATTTTGCTTAAAATCCCTTAGGAACATTTTTGCTTTGCGATCTGACCCAAACTCCTCTAACAGCTGGGTTTTCTGTTGTCTGTGGGAAATACCACCTTTTTTTTTTTTTTTTTAAAGTTCATGGAGTTGGTTTTGGGGACGCATTCTACAGGAAAAAACAGTATCTTGAAATTCGAGTCTTAGTGTAGGAAGGTACATCAGTATTATATAGTCTTCACTCTTGAAATTGTTTTTTGAGTAGAGGATATATATACTTGAATTTGCATTGACATAAATGCCAATATAATGTGAGTCTATTCGGTATTATTTTATAGGTTTTTTTTTCTCTTAGTCATAACTAATTACTAACTTATTTGTAATTCTGAACACATATAGTTCAATATTTTTTTCTCCCACATACCTATAAGGCTGAGGTTGGCATACTTTTTCTGGGAAAGGGCTAAGGGCTAAATAGTAAATATTTTAGGTTTTGCAGGTCATACGGTCTTTGTCTCAACTACTCAGTACTGCTCTGGCCCAAAGGTAGCTATAGACATTAAGTAAATGATTGTCTTCTAAAACTCAATTTATAACAACAGATGGTAGGCTGACACCTGTTCCAGAAGTTTTCCTCAGTGGGTTATAAAATGGGGGAGAGAGGGTTTGTTAAGGGTTCCTTTGACACACACAGATTTTTTTGACTAGGCAGTTTTGTTCTTTGTAGTGGTCTTTATCAGGATTGGTTCTGAGTGCCTTTAAGAACTCTATTATGCCAGCGACAGATCCCAGGCTTTTCTCTTTATACAGTAATAGAATGCATGTTTGAGCTCTTGGACTCCTGATTTCTTGACTATAAATATATTAACCATCTTAGTTACATGTTATTGCTCTGTTTTTTTATTTATTCTGGTTATTTTATTTCTTTGGGTTATTTGATTTATTAAAGCTTAGAGCAAACTAGAAGAAGGAAAGTAAATATAGTAAGTCAGTCATCATTTACAGATTTTGTATGAAGTAACTTGTTAAATGATTTTGTTTTACCTTGAATAAAACACCTGATTGTAGCTTACATGTCAACTCTGCTGAAATTTTTATTTGAAAATCTTTCAGACATGAGGAAGAGCATCGACGCCGTGAGGAAGAAATGATCCGACACAGAGAACAGGAGGAACTGAGGCGACAACAAGAGGGCTTTAAGCCAAATTATATGGAAAATGTAAGTAAAATACAAGTTAACTGAAATTATTTTATATTGTCAGGTGGACAAGGCATATTTAGAATTCTTTGGATATTTGTTTATATATTTTTAAATCTTTACGAATTTGTCTTGTTTGTTTATGTTAAACTAATGATTTTCTTAACCTCTTACAGGCAATAACTTACAAGTAGTTTCTGAAGATACTATTAATGTTTTATAAAAAGGATGTTAAATTTTTAAAATTTTTATCTTTTTTTAATATATGGTTCTAAATTAGAACTCTTGGTAAATCTATCATCTCTACTTGATTGAATTTCAACATTTATTGATAATAAAAATTCTTTAGGGGCATTTGGCTGGCTCAGTCAGAAGAGCATGAAGCTCTTGGTCTTGGGGTCCTGAGTTCAAACCCCACATTGGGCATAAAGATGATTTAAATAAATAAACTTAATGGAATGACATAAATAAAAATTCCCTATATTGGAGGATACTAGACAAATACAAATGTAGGCCAGTATGTTCTCATCACCCAACCATGACAGTTATCGCTACATAGCTGATCTTTTAATCTACCCACCCTTCCTGAATTATTTTTTATTAAATCCCTGACTTTATATGGTTTTATTAATATGTGTTTCAGTATGTATCCCTAGAAAATAAGGACTCTTTTTAAAAATATCTTTGTCATATCTTAAAAATTGTCACTTCTTTAATATTAACTAGTAAAAGCCCACATTTGCCCAGGTTTTATAAAGGTTTTTATTTTTACAACTGGTTCAAATTGGCTGACAAATCCAGTGTTTTTAGTCTGTAGGTTTTATCTTCACCTTTTAAATTTTTTACTTAATTTTTAAAGAAACAGACCCTTGTTGTTTCTCACATCCTGGATTTTGTTGAATTTATCCTTGCAGTGATGTTTAACAAGTTTCTCTATCCCTGAGTTTTTTTTAAATTGGAGCTCTGAAGATTTGGTCTTACTCAGAGTAGGTTTTTTTGGGAAGGCAAAATGGTAGGGCAAACAAGGATACTTCAGATATGTTAAAATCCCCATGTTCTTAATGTGAACTAACAAGTCTTACTATTCACCTTAGATGAATGCCATTTTAACAGTCATTATTCTGAAAAATATTTACTGGTGTTTTCTTCCCTAGCTATTCAGAAGTCATTCTTTAATAAAGTTTCTGAGGCTACAAGTATTAATTCAAGTCACTGACTCTTTTGCTGACCTTCTGCCCCCATTCTTCTGTCCCTAGAAAAATTTTAAACTTCTTTTCTAAAAAAGAATACACACAGTAAAATGCATCCTAACTTGTATAATAACAACAAGAAATTTTTATCTTGGTTACATCAAGTAAATATCCTTTGACTAAAAATTATGTGGCATTTAAATTCAATTAGAGAGGTTTCTTACTATTTATAAGTTACACTAAAGGTTTAATTTAATTGATTTTTAAATTCCATTACCAAGTTAGTTGAATTTTCAAGCATTGCACATTTTCTCTTAATTTCGACCATTTCTAGCATCATTTTGCAATTCTCTTTTCCTACTTGGATACATAGTCTTTGCTTATGACGTATTTTAAATGTGGTCTTAGGTCTTTTGGTTGTTAAATGTGAACATAATCTGTTGGATTTATCAATGTGAGGATATTTTATGATGTTATAAAACTATATGGAATTAAAGTTTTTTGGTCCATATTTTGAAAACTAGTGACTAAGTTTTTATTTCCAAGTATAATCCAGATGTAAACCACATATAATACATTTCCTAGGAAAACTTTATTTTGTTCCATTAAGGATTAGGAAATTCTTCCTTCTCCTTTTATGTACCTGAACATTTCTTTTCCTAAAGTGCTTGCTTATAGCCAGATTTGGTGAAATTAGCTTTCTTACTATTTTTTTTGGCATAAATTTTGCATTCTTGGAACATATGTGTAGCTATTTGTAATGTCATATACATAAATAATTTAGGGGACTAAAAGTAAATGATTAAGTAAAATGTATTCTCCTGTTACATTTAAGTTGGCTATATCATAAATTTGTTTGTAGACTCTATTTTTTGAAATTATTTCATAGAAATTTTTTAAAAACATACCAGTGTTTTTTATATTTGTTCAGTGGCATTTAATATAGGTATAATTAATGAAGGACAGATTTTAATTTTACTTTTCTATTCAAAAATTATTTGGAAATGTTGCTATAATTTAAAATTGAAATACTGCAAATTCTTGTTTTAATTTTAAAACATTTGTATGTTTAAAATTAATTTTTTGGTGGGTAGAATTTTACAAATTACCGATGAACTTTGAGAATAAATGAATTACATATTTAAAATATTCATGGTGGGTTTATTAAAGCATTTCAAAAATAGATCATTTATTGTTTCACCAGATTATACTCTTAGAAAATGTAGATGTTATATTTTAATACTAAGATATCTTTGTTTTCAGGTAGTTAAAGTATAAGTTGTATATTTGAAGCATCATAAGATTAATTTGGCTGGAGCAGAAGTCAGCAAACTATAGCCTAGGACCAGTGGCCAGTTTCTACCACTCTACCACAGAGCTAAGAATGGTGTTTACGTTTTAGAGAGTTGATGGATAAGGAAAATAAGAGAATATTAGAGTATCCGTGACTCAAAAAACACAAGATACTTACTCTTTGACCCTGTACAGAAGAAGTTTGCTGAACCCTGGGCTGGAGAGTTGGTGCTAGGTTTTTTTGTTTTCTGTTTGTGTTTCTGTTTTTTAATTAATATTCTTGTTAGGCCACAAAGTTACTATATTTTTAATTTTCTGAAGAGAAACCATACTTAAAATAGTATGTAACAAAGGAATTAAATTTTTAGGGGAAATACAGTCTTTGCCAGATTTTTAGGTTTTTTGATATTAGAAATTATGGATAGACAAAAGTTTTTCATCATTTTGGTATCAGTTTTATTTGGTTCCTAGCTTCATAATGCTTGTCAATATAAGGTAATCAAGCACTAAAGAAATGTTAACAAAAGTTCTTTATAGGTCTTGACTGTTTTGTGTTAATAGAAGAAACATTGAGGTAATTGTTGTATCAGTTATTCTTCATTTACTTTAAAACTGTCTTTGGAAAAAATTGTTAAATTTAATGTTTGTTTTTGTTTTTAAAAGCTTTGAAATTAGGCCCTCTTATGTGCTTTCTCTTTTTTCACTGTTCAGTTTAAAGGGAGGAATCAAATGGTAAGTGTTCAGCTTGCCCAAATAGTAAGAGTAATTAGTATAAAGCAGATTTACTTGGTTTAAGATGCCACCTCTCATTTCTTTCTAATATTCCTATGAGGAATATTCCGACACAAATAGGAGTATGGACTTTGAAGTAGAAAATAAGAACTGATTTCCATATTTTGTGTCTTGAAAAATAATTTTTTTTAATGTAATAAAATACGAAGGAAAACATACATCATGTCTGGTCATGTTTTTCTTTGTTAGCCTTCAACTTTATCATAATTTAATGACATGGATATATTTTTAAGTGTTTTAAGGATATGTCAGCACCTCATCAACTAGAAGTCATTTTATTTCATACCTTATTTCTTAGAAGTCACGCTCTTTGATAGCTCTGGTAATTATAAATAAAACACGTTAATTTTCACTTGTAGCATAATGTATTTTTGACAGCCATAACAATGTATATATTTTTATGCTGTGTTTTAAATACATTTAAGTTTATCTTTACTTATACCATACTGTAGAGTGTAATACCAAACCATTTTCTTGATAGTACTTATTGGGTTGAAATTTTCTATTTACCACACTTTTAAAACTTTTGGACACATCACAGTAAGTTACAGTATTAGTGTAAAAATGTATGAGATTATCTCTTACGAATGTTTGTGATTTTTTAAAAATTTTTGTTAAGTTGCTCCACTTACTATAGATGAAGTAGTTTAAACATTTTAGTGCTGCAGTATACCAGTCTTTATCTGTGGATTCAATTTGCGTTGGAGTAAAGTGGAGATTTTAATTAGAATTTTTTTAATGCAGTTTCTTAGAGTAAGCTTTGCTTTCTTGGGAAAAATGATAGTTTTATAAGAACATCTAAATCTCATTCTAGCTTTAGCAGTTGCATCAAGTAGTTATAAAATACTTTGTTTAGGTAAATTGGGGTAGTGTTTTTATGGGCTGCTGTTTTATTTTAAAACTTCAGGAGGTTTTTTTTTTTTTTTAGAAGTTTGTATTTGATGTAAATATTAATGTTTGTTTTTTAGTGAATAAAAGAATAGCCCTTCAGATCTGTTTCAAAACACATACATGAATTGATACTGAAGAATTTTTACTTTTGTTTGAGTAGGTGGGAATAGCCCTGGATGTTTAAACACATGTGCATAATAAACCTGGAAATAAATGTATATTATATGCTAGGGCAGTAATTTGATTCAGTTATGTTTCTTTGTCAGAGTAGTGCCATTGTAGCTATCCAGTATATTATATAGTGAGGCCAGGACCATTAAGGAGAAGTAGCCAGAGGAAGGGTGTAATGCCTCTTCCATGGTAGTGTTTTTCAAATAGTGCATAATAAACCCTCAGGGAGGTTTTTAAAAACGTAGGTTGTTCCCCTTAGATCTCCAGCCTACAAATTGATTCGTTTCATGATTACAGTAGAATCTGATACATTCTCCATTGATCACATTTTTGGCTAAATTTAGTAATTTTCAACCTGTGCAGCACATCTTTTCGAACTTAAAAAAGAAAAATGTCTGAGTTCAATTCATCAAATATTTTTGATGCAGTAGGTCTGAGTTGGAGCCATGGAATCTGCATTTTAAGCAGCTCTTTAGTCTCTTTATTTTCATTAGCAAAATAGAAGACAATTGCTGTATCTTGAAATGAGACATAGTTGAAATATTGAAATAAGAATATTAATAGTTGAATTTTTTATGGAACCTGGGAGTTTGAAGGGAGGGCTCAGAGCCAGTCAACATTGGGGATAGGATTCATACACTTAATGGAAGTACCCCCAAAATTTTATGTGAACAGTGTTGTGTG